GTACGAATGATGTAATGAAGAAGGATGAAAGGAAGAAAAAACAAGAAAGAAAAAAAGAAAGAATAAAGAAAGGAAATAATACGAATGATGCAATGAAGAGAGTTGAAAGAAAGAAAGAAAGAAAGAAGAAGGCTGGAAGCAAGAACGAACGAAAGAAAGAAAGATAAAAAACGTAAGAAACTTGTCCGAATAATGTAATGAATAAAGTTAAAAGAAAGAAAGAAAGCAAAAAAAAAAGAGAAAGAACAAATGAAAGGAAAGAATACGAATGATGCAATGAAGTCCGTTTAAAGAAAGAAAGAAAAAGTATGAATGATGTAATGAAGACGACAGAAAGCAAGAAAGAAAGAAAGAAAAATGAAAGAAAGAAAGTAAAACAGAAAAATAGAAAGAAAGAAATATGTACCTATATCTCTCTCTCTCTCTCTCTCTCTCTCTCTATATATATATATATATATATATATATATATATATATATATATATATATATATATATGAAAAAAATATATACGGAAAAAACAAAACAAAAATCCTTATATACGATTATTTTGTTTTAATGTTAATATGTCAACGTCTGACGTTTCGGTCTAATAAACCATCTTCAGGAGATATTCATAAATATGTCATTATCAATACAACATGACAAAGACGATGTACATTAGAACAAGACTTATCCAAACAATAACTGAAAGTTTTATAATATCAGCGCTCCGTTTGAAACATGGTCACGTTGTCGTCACGTGGACGACGCTGTGAAAACGTATTCCTACAATTTTGAGTATTTTGAATGAAAAATGAAAAGGATTCTATTTTGAACTAAAATTTTTATGTGTATGCTTGTCGAGCATTAATCTCGCTAAAAAAGGGGAAATATTAAAGAAACCAGGCCTAGTATTCACCGCGCGTGAGATGGATATTATGCCTGCTTCATAAATCCGCCTAAGATTTTTATTATGAAAATATTTTAAAATCTTCACGGAATCAAAATCGAAAATCTTAGGCGGATTCATGAAGCAGGAGACATAGATGTTGATACTCTACTGTTGTCTCACAATCCTCATTTTGTAAGATTGACTATATACACTGTACTCTATTAAGGCTTAATACCTGTGCAGTATCCATAATTTTTATCATTGTTTCCGTGAGTAAATTATTCAAGAGGTTGGAATCATTTGCCAAAACTAAGAACTTAAATAACCTAGACGTTTGTGTCAGTAAAAATTATTGCTAAAGTTTGTGAAAAATTTTTATTGTTAATTTAAACATGGCGTTACCGTTTGTTTGCCATGATTTCGTTTGCTTTGTTTTAGAGCATATCACAAACTCAATGGGTTATTTAATGCCGACAAACTTTTTACTGTTGGTAATATTTTTTTTTCAAAAAATCTTTTTCAGGTAATATTTTTTCCACCAAAAAATCTCAAGGAAATGTGTACGAATGACGTAAAGAAGACACTAGAAAGAAAGAAAGAAAGAAAGAAAGAAAAACAGAAAAATAGAAAGAAAGAAATGTGTACGAATGACGTAAAGAAGACACTAGAAAGAAAGAAAGAAAGAAAGAAAGAAAGAAAGAAAGAAAAACAGAAAAATAGAAAGAAAGAAATGTGTACGAATGACGTAATGAAGACACTAGAAAGAAAGAAAGAAAGAAAGAAAGAAAGAAAGAATGAAAGAAAGAAAGTAAAACAGAAAAATAGAAAGAAAGAAATGTGTACGAATGACGTAAAGAAGACACTATAAAGTAAGAAAGAAAGAAAGAAAGAAAGAAAGAAAGGAAGATAGAAAAGAAAGATAGAAAAGAAAGAAAGAAAGAAAGAAATAAAGAAAGAAAGAAAGTAAAACAGAAAATAGAAACCCAGTAAGTCCTAACTGAAGTTACTTTGCTGAAGTATTTTTAAATTCGTGCCGGTAAGATATTTTTCCGTTTTAGCAACAAACCAAATCACTAAAATTATAATAAAACTCTTTACTATTAAACTTTAAAAATAAGGAATGCGTACGAATGACGTAATAAAGACACTTGAAAGAAAGAAAGAAAGAAAGAAAGAAAGAAAGAAAGAAAGAAAGAAAGAAAAGAGTACGTATGATGTCACGAAGAAGGATGAATGTACCAAAGACAAGAAGAAAGAAATAACCTCACACCTTATTCTCCTTGACTCGCCAATCCCTAAATGCCATGTTTATGAATTTACTAATTATTTTCAAATGTTGTTGTTTCCTAGAATTACTGGCTGAATTTGGCGATTAGGTATATAAGTGCTAAGCACTTTTGTGAAAGAAAAGCATCGAAAATTGGACAGTTGTCGCTGGTCTGCAGTGACGAGAAAAAGAAAAAATAACTATTAGAGGTTTAAATTAATGACTTGAAATTTTCCAAAATATATCATGTGCTCACAGAATATCATACATGTATATGAAAAACCCTAGTGAGGATCGAACCTACTCTATTACCAATAATTCTTCACTTTGTTTGTCATCACTTGCTCTACAGTGTAGTGCCCAACGCATATACTATTGACGCGGCTTCCATTTCATCATACACTTATGGAAACACGTATCTTGGCCATGCAAAAACCCTACGCATGCGCTATCACCTTGTCAGAAAGGCGGGAACGACCATTCTCTCTCACTCTCTATCGTATGCTTTTCATTTATTTTTATTCGAGCAAGTCTGTCTGTTTGTCGTTCAACGGGAGGTTTTCTCATGACTCAGACCGTCTTTTGCATTTTATTGGTAGTATCTGGGCGGACACAAGACAAAGGTAGGGGTATGGGTAGTTTACTGGGTGCGAGGAACAAAGAGTGGGTGAGTGAAAGTGTCGTCTGTCGATGGACAGCGGAGAACTACAAGATAAATGGCTTGGGGTAAGAGGAGAGAAACACTGATAGTTAATAAAGACGAAAAGAAAGTGTGAAAGAAAAACGTAGAAGAAGAAAAGACATTGAATGAAGGGAGAAGAATGGTGGATAAAAAAAGCGAAATGAAGTGGAAAGGAAATGATAGAAAAGAAGAAAGAAAAAATGAAAATAAAATGAAAGAAACCAAGAGGAAGAGAAAAGAGGCGTGGTTGACAATTGTTAAGGGATTGTAAGTTCGATCCTCAGTGGATGCCATGTGATTTTGGCCTTGTGCCTGAACGAAGCTATTCTTAATAAATGATAATAATGAGGGGAAAGAGAGAAAGAAATGTAAAGGAATGAGTGATGTAACAAAGAAGAAAGAAAGAGAGAAATAAAGAAGGAAAGAAATGAAAAGGAATGAGTGATGTAATGAAGAAGAAAGAAAGAAAGGAAGGAAGGAAGGAAGGAAGGAAGAGGAATGAGTGACATGATAAAGAAGAAAGAAAGAAAGAAAAAAAAAGGGTGACGTAACGAAGAAGAAAGAAAGAAAGAAATGAAAATAAATGAGTGATGTAATAAAGAAGAAAGAAAGAAAGAAAGAAAGAAAGAAAGAAAGAAAGAAATGAAAAAGAAAGAGTGATTTAATGAAGAAGAAAGAAAGAAAGAAATGAAAAGGAATGAGAGAGGTAATGAAGAAGAAAGAAAGAAATGAAAAGGAATGAGTGGGGTAATGAAGAAGAAAGAAAGAAAGAAAGAAAGAAAGAAAGAAATTAAAAGGAATCAGTGTTGTAATGAATAAAGTTGAAAGAATGTGAGGGAAAAATGAAAGCAATGCATGGAATGAAAATGAAAATAGAACGAATTATGAATGAAAAATTGTGGAGGAGTACAATTAGGAATAAAAAAGGATGAATGACAGAATGAATAATAAAAAAATAAAGAAAGAAAAATGATAAAGAATGAGTGATGTAAGAAAGATAGACAGACAGACAGAAAGAAAGAAAGAAAGAAAGAAAGAAAGAAAGAAAGGAAGAAAGAAAAATCAATATATGATGGAATGATGAATGAGCAAAAGAAAGGAAGAAAGAAAAGAAAATCAATGGATGCCGGAATAAAGAAGGTTGAAAGAAAGAAAGAAAGAAAGAAAGAAAGAAAGAAAGAAAGGAACGAAAGTCAATATATCATGGAATGATCAATGGGGAAAAGAAAGGAAGATAGAAAAGCAAATCAATGGATGCCGAAATAAAGAAGGTTGAGATAAAGAACAAAAGAAAGAAAGAAAGAGAGAAAGAAAGAAAGAAAGAAAAATCAATATATGATAGAATGATGAATGGGGAAAAGAAAGAAAGAAAGAAAGAAAGAAAGAAAGAAAGAAAGAAAGAAAGAAAAAAGAAAGAAAGAAAGAAAGAAAGAAAGACAAGAAAATGAATGAATGCCGGAATAAAGAAGAAAGAAAGAAAGAAAGAAAGAAAGAAAGAAAGTAGATACTACGAAAGTAAGAAAGAAAGGAAAAAGAAAGAAAGAAAGAAACTAAGAAAGAAAGAAAGAAAGAAAGAAAGACACAAACAGACAAACAAACAAACAAACAAACAAACAAACAAATAAACAGATCACGAGTAAAAAAAAGAACATGGAAGAAATAAGGAAATATAATTGAAAAATGAAAAATGGAAAATGAAAAATGGAAAGGTAACTCAAAAATTGAAGGAGAAAAAAAAGAAAATAGAAAACCAAAAAAAATTCAAAGAAATAAAGAAAAAACATATGGATAACGAAAAGTAATCAAAAACACAAGAAGTCCAAAAAGATAAAAAAAAAAAAAAATAGGTGAATGTAAAATGTCTAAACGAACATGAAGATTAAAAAAAAAACAGCTAGACAAGAAAGAAAATGGAAGATTTAAAGACATAAATTAAGGGGGTCAATGATAATAAGCCTCAGAGAAAGAGAGTGAGAGGGGGGAAGAGTGGGAGAGAGAGAATGAAAGAAAGAATATTGAAAAGTTGTGAAAATGATACTTTAATTTACAATTTCTGTTTAGTATTGTAGTTTG